ATCCAGCCGAAGAGTTCTGCCTTTTAATAAGGCAGTTTTTTCTTACCAATTTTGCTGCTTTGCTAAAGTGCTCATGATGGATAGGCCGGATCTTTGTAACATAACAATAAGTAAAGTCTTTTTACCTGCTCTTTTGTAATGTTAACAGACAAAGAGTAAGGTATTTTACCTGCTTTTTGTGAAGTGTCTCGAGATAACACTTGTTATGAGTTGACGCTATACAAATAAAAATTGATTGATTGATTGATTGATTAATTCAGCATGCATTAATCAGGCCAAATACATCGTCTTTGTTGGTTGTATTATTTAGGAGCTTGTTTAAACCCAAACCATCATTTTTACCCCTGAAATTTAGCAAGTAGTTTTAGTGACTTAAGACAGAAATCTATCCTGACTGTTATGTATAAGTCAACTGTTTTTTATGAAAGGATTCAAGTTTTCAATGTCATGCTAAACAAGCATATTGGTAGCAGCTCCATTTTTAGCAACCAGATTTTTGCTTTGTTCTCATTTGATTTCTCTCAAAGCAAGACAGCAAAAAAAGCAAGATAATTTCCACACCTCTAAATCATTTCTGGAAGAACATCTTCACTGTACAGATATGTTCTGCTGTACTGCTGCATTTGTTGATAATGACTTTAATAATGTAATGATCTTAATAATTATTTTCACATTAGAATGTGTGCATGTTGAACAGGAAACACGTCAAATATCTGAATATAATCCAGCTGCCGCTGTGTTGTTTAATTGCTTACTGTTGTGAACATTGAACACAGTCATCGTAGAAAAGCTTAGTTGGACTCAAATGGAACGGGGGGAATGGCACAGGGTCCAAATCTGTGTGAAAAAGAACTAGCCTCGTTTGAACTCGCTTTTGTGATGTGCCAACAGTTTGTCTGCCAAAATCTGTGGAATACATGACAGAGAGCGGCATGCATTGTTTCATCCAGGGAGTCATTTCAAAGGCAGCTTAATAAACACAGCTGGTAAGAAGTGTCTCAATGGAAAAATTAAAGACAGGTGTCACAGCCTGCAGCGTATACCAAAGAGAAAATTAATGTCCTACTTTTATTTTTCTGATCTCTAATATTGCTAACACAGACATTTGGATTTGGGTGTGCATGGAAATTTGGTAGACGGCTGCCATCTTGGAATCAAATAATAGGCACAATTAGTCTGACCTTGGTGGATTAAAAAATAGTTTTTCTGTAGTAATATGCTGTGGGTATGTAAAAACACATTTATTGGAAAATTAAATTAAGATAAGATGACACTTTTTTGTCTGTTTGGAAGACAATTTAAAATAACCTTATTATATCATCAGACATTAAGGAAACATGCTATGTGGAATTGCTGGCTTCTCTCACAACAACGCAGATCAAACACAGGTGAGACTAACAAGACACAGGTAAGGACAATCAGGGAAATCACACTGGGAAACACACAGAGGAAGGAATCCAAGAATCACTGAGGACAACTACAAACTAAATCATGAAACACTAAAGACACACAGAACTCAAGAATGAAACAAAACACACTAGAACACAGAGATACACAAGGATAATAAATGAGAAAATAAAACAGGAAACACTGAAGACAAAACTAGGAAACCATGAACACTAGGAAACATTAACACACAAGGGAAACAAGCAACACTGGGATAAAACAGGGAAGCTCAAATACAAAACCAAATCATGACACCAGAATGATAATTTTTTTGTTTATACTGGAGAAATTAAGCGGTTGTAAGGCACCCCCGCACAGCCGTTTTGGATGCCCCTCAGTTTGCCAGATAACAGCAAACCAACAGGTGTTGCAGGGATGGAAGACGGAAAGCAAACTGGTTCAGTTATAACTGATTCTACCCGACCTCAAAAGCCTCTACATTTTTAAGATGAAGACAGGTAAGTGAGCAGAAAGGTTTCAAGATGGATACAGAGCTGGCTAAACGCTACATGGCAACCTCTGTAGACATCGACTTTAGGGAAGAGGGGCCGGGGGGGAGATGGCTCTCTCCAATGTTTTAAAATTGGACTGAAGTACCCATTATAAAGATAAATCATTTCTTTGAGTGATTTGATGGTATGATGAACACAACTCTTCAACATCACATTGGTTTTCACAAGTCAAAAGCTTAAGAACAAACTAAATATTTAATGAATAACAGCAATTACCCCCCGAGGCAGAAACGCTTCACACTGACACTTATAGACGACTATAGTGGAAACGCCATCGTTTCCAACTAGTTACAGTAGTTAGACAGAGGGCTCGCCATATTCCCTCATTGCCATAGAAACAGGTAGAACTGTAGCTTTTTCTGAAGATATCGTTGAGGTTTGTTTGCCAATATGGTGGTAATGCAGGAAGACACAGTCAGAGGCGATGGGGGAGGGGTAATAGGCACTGATCGTGTGAAGCTTTGATGTTGTTGCCGAGAGGAGGGAATGCAGCAGAGTTGGGGAGCAAGGCAGTATGTGGTTGACTTTAATTAACAATAATCCCATGTATCCAATGTATCTTTAAAAACATGTAAGTGTGTTTAATGCTGTAAAAGCATTCGTTTCTGGTTTAAGATGCTCGTTTTTAGAGCTATATCACCTTTACATTCACCTTCTTTTCTCTTCAATAGGACCAACCATAGAGCAGTAACACAATTAGTATTTCCAGTTGGGTGATTTCAGTTCTTTAGTTTGGGACAGTTAATCAATGGCTGCTAGCTTTCAGTGTTTAAAAAGTATCGATCCTGAATACAGTAGTGCTTATTTGAACAAGACACTTTTATTGGTCCATTTTCTTGTTATTTTTTTTCTCTTTGTCTTAAAAGCATTTTTCTGCATTCAAAATGAAGGCCTCTGTTTAATTGTGGATTTCCCAACCTGGGCCCACCAAGGGAGGGTTGTTAAAAATCTTGGGGGGGTGGGGGGGGGATACAGCTTTGTCAGCTCTGAGGTTAGATTGGCACAGAACTTCATTCTAGAGAAAATAATTCATGTTATTTTTTGAAAACAATATCAACTTTTTTGTGTTGGTGCTGGAGGGCTCCAAAGAAAGAAGGCTGGAAACCACTGATCTATACCAGTGATGGATCTCTGGGTTGTGTGTGGACCTTGAGCCAATTGCTGCTAACATTGGGCAAGAGGTGGGATAAACGCTGGACAGGTCTCCAGTCAATCACAGGGCTGACATATAAAGACAAATGATCAGTCACACACACACACTCACACCTACAGGCAATGTCAAGTCAAATATTAACCTAATGAGTCGTTGACCGAGGGAGGAAGTCATGCTACCCAGAGGGACCCCTGAGCAGTCCTGGACAAATACAACGCCTCACAGAAAGGCCCAGTGGAATGAAACGAACGAAACCGCCAATTTTAAAGGTGACTCTAAACATTTATGGTCTCTTTAAAATGTATGAACTTCTGCGTTCTGAATGAATGTTTGAGAGACAAAATAACAAGCTTGTTGATTCTCTGCCATAACAAAAGTGCAGAACACTTCTGGCATTCTGCTTTTAAAAAATCGAACAGGAGATTAAACTGAATGTGTTATCAATGGAACTACTCTGAAGAAGAATAATTCCCCCATTCCCAAACACAGACCGCATTTATTCATTAATAAAGCGCTTTGATATTACATGCACAAGTGTTCACTTAATCCTGCGCTCTGTTCACTCCCAGACTTTGGTCTCAGGATGAGCTCAAATGTGTGTGGGCGCGCTCGATGTGATGGCATGTGTTATGACTGAACACGTGCCTGTATGCGTCGTTCGGGCCATGCATATTTAATACTTTTCATGTGCATGTGTGCGCAAATGTGTTTTTTGTCCAGCTATAAATTTGTTTTCATGCATTTAGCTGGAATGAATTTGGACATGGTTGGCTGTGTGTTCTCTAAGCGTATGTAAAAGTTTGGTCTGTGTGCGTTTGTGAGAGAGATATCCCCTCGGGGTGGCAACTAACTTTGCGTTGTAAAGGCCATGCTTCACGCCGAGACAGAACTCTGATCAACTGTGTCGAGAAGACAGATAATGCAAAACTACTCCCCTCCTCTTGCTCATTATTTACACTGACTCCTGCACTCCCTCGTGCTTCTGATCTTTTCCATCTCCACAGGAGCCATCCCCATATTCTTCATCATTGATTTTCCTCCTCTGTTCTTTCTTCTTCACTGTCCACTTTTGAGATGTTCTTACCGCCCTTCTCACCATCATCCATCTCTGTCCCCCTTACATTATCAGAGGCTATCCTTCTTCCCCCCTTCCTCGATTGAGAGGCAAAACAGCATTTACCCAATCAGCAAATACTCATTAGTTACTCATTAGTTAGTTACTTTTGATGGACACTTTACATAGCAGCCTCTGCCATCAGTGTGTGAAAGTGGTGTGTGGAGTGACCTGCGGTTTAAGAGCGCTTTGAGTAGGCAGAAGATTAGAAAAGCGCTGTGCAAGTCAAGTTGAAATCAGTGTCTCTCCAACAATCTTGGTGGACAAAGATGTCTTGTGACGGGGCTCCATGATGTCACTTTTTGTTTGAAAAAGGCAGACTTACAGGAAGACGAGGGAGCAGGAGATCTGGAAAGACATGCAGCATATAAGGTCATGTCAAGAAAAATAATTTGCCCCCATTTTTGTTTAAGCTTCACAAAATTAACGTGTTCTACTTCTCTCTGTCTTCTTTAGTTTAATGTTATTGTCGCCTATGTTCAAATACGATATTTAGTAAAAAAAAAAAAAAAAGTCTCTTCTTTCCACCCATTCTGCTTTTCACTTCTGCATGCAGGCTTTCACTTCTTCTGTTCCAGTACTCCCCACTCTCACCTCTTTCACTCCAACAATGATCTATGTTTTTCAGTGCTGCTGCTGGGAGTGCACACACACACACACACACACACACACACACACACACACACACACACACACACACACACACACACACACACACACATCCTTCCGTCCTCACTCTATCCATCTTTTTTTCTTTTTCGGTTCCATCCTTTTGCCGTCCTCTGACTTGTTGTTCTGCCCAAGAGAGGAGGGAGAAAGAGGGAGGAGATGCTCCTTGTCGGAGAGAGAGAGAGAGAGAGAGAGAGAGAGAGAGAGAGAGAGAGCAAGAGCGCGCAGCCAACCAACGGGTGAAGTGCGCCTGCTCTGTCGCCGTCGCCGCCGTTTCAGAGGAGAAGTGCCGGTTTTATTCAGCAGCTGAATGAGGGACGGAACGGAGGGAAGGATGAACAGACAGATGAGAACAGGATAAGTGAATGAATGAACGGATCCCGACTTGGACATCTTTCAGAGCACAGAACCGGTAAGAGGACGCACGTGTGAATTGACATCGCTTTTGGGCTGATTTTACGATAGATTTCTGTCAATTGTTTTTAGTTTCTTATAACCATAGCCCGTGTGAGCTGTAGCCCAAGTGTGTGGCGGGAGGCAGCCAACGGTAAGCAGTGTACGCTCGGTGCAATCACTTTGACAGTCGGTTAATCGCAGCGGGGGGGGGGGGGGGGTGTCATTTGCACAGATCGGTGCATGCGTGCGTAAACGGGGGAGCACACAACCTGGCAAGATAGAGATCAAGGAGGGGAGGGAGAAAAGGGAAAGTGATCGCATAGCTGAGGGAGAGGAGCGCGGAGGAATGCGCCGAGACCGGACAGACCATGCGTGACCAGAGGTCTCTCTCTCTCTCTCTCTCTCTCAGGTGCGACACCGCAGAGAGCCCTACCCTGTCTGTCTGGGAGACGCCTTCAGTTCAGCACCCACTCCACTTGTTTACTGGACATGAAGCTTTGGTGAGAAAACGCTAATTGGAAAGCTGCAGAGAGGCTGTGGACGGGAGCAGGACGTGCAGCCGGTGAGGGAGGATGAGATCAGGGTTAGGGAGAGTGAACACACCGAGGGTCTGCGCACTTAGGTCAAGGTGCAGGAGGTGGGGAAAAACGATGATGATGGAATAATTCAACTAAAATGCACAAGAGGTTGAGTTATTTCCCTATATTGCATGCGTTGAGTTATTTCCCTATATTGCATGCGTTGAGTTATTTCCCTATATTGCACTCATTTTTAACGAGATATTTATGTTAAATAGATATACAAGCTTTTTGTTCTGGCCAGTGGTGATGGTGGTAGTGCTGGAAGCGTTGATGGTTATGAGGATGGTTGTGAATGGATTTAATTGGTTTTGCTCTGAGCCCAAAAATTTGAATCTACAGTGCAATATTGTGTATTACATTGTATCGTGTTGCGTCCAATAAAATCGAGTGGTTTAGTGTCATCTCTTGGATTGCAATTTTTATTCATGGTTACTTGGTTCTCATGGTGGTGTGGTTTCCTGTTATGAATTCTGTGGGCCTTTCCTCCAGATAGGGCTTAGTGTTTACCCGTGTGCTGTCTTATTTTCCAGATTGCAAGTCATTTGTAGCCCGCCCTGACGCACTTTTAATTGCATTAACCTGCAAAGGTATCAAGCAAGTTTGCTTGACTGACTGACACCGGTGTAGATGGAAGATGACGGGGTCGATGAGGATGATGATTGTTGTTGTTGTTGTTGTTGAATACTCTCATGAAGATGTGGACATTTAAAACAAAAAGTTCAGCAAGGTTTTAGAAGGGGAAAAAAACAGGATGTTGATAGCCAAGCTAATGAGATCATGATGGCGAGGAAGCTGAAGTTGATGACAGTGAACATGGTGATAGGTTTGATTATGATTGCATGATTTAGTGAAAATGACTGCATGCAGTGGTTGTTTAACTGCTGCATTGTATTAAATGGTAAATGGACTGCACTAAGTGCCTTTCAAGTCTTCAGGCCACTCAAAGTACATTATGATGGGGATCATAACGATAATTGTGGTTCCACAGATAATGATAAAAACAATGGGATGGATGCCTTAATGGTGATTGTAGTTGTTTTTTATTTTACTTGAACTTAAAATTAGGAAGATGGGAATAGAACCAATACATAATGATAAATAATTAACATAAAGCCATGCCGTCCTCTCAATAATTCAAGCGCCCAAGCTGTCTAAGGCAATAGGCTGCACTCATCTACGTATCCAAAACCATTTTTTCCGCTTACATCAGCAACAATGAAATCTTTGTGTTAAGCAGCTTTGATGCTGCCTAGCTCACAGCTACAATCCAGTATAGACATTTACTAAAGATAATGTGGGCCACGTCTGCATGGCGGTGATACATGAGGCAACACTTTGGACACTCAAACACTCCGTCTGATTTTTCGACAATCAGACATGCAAAGCTATTTTCAGCAGTATAGCAACGGGTCAAAAGTGTATTCAGATGATTTCTGGCAGCAAGATTATACGTTTAAAAGATTAGAAGGAAACTTTCTTTGGAGTTACATTTCTAAGAACATTGTCTCCCGTTATTGGACATGACAGAAAAAAAACTCTTCAGGCAAGATGAGGGTGGTGATGTATCCGAGTAAATTTCCATCAGTGTCAGAGTTGTTATTTGAAGACACACCACTTATTTTGTGTACATTTTTGCTCTCGACAGACTCGGGACACCATGTGTCTATTTTGGCTCTCCTGACATTTGTGTTGATTTTGTTCCATCTGTCCAGTTATTCATCCCGTTTGAGCTTTGACTGCAAGTGACTGCAAGGCCAGAGAAACCAGGCGTTTGGAAGGAAGACAAAAAACACATAGATGTATTCATTATTTTGTCCACAAAATACCAATATTGACATTGATTTAGTCAGGCTGTCACATTTATAGTCCCCACATATGTATTTGTGTGCTTTTTGTTTGCACATTATGCATGCTGCCTCCGTACCTGCTAAGTCTCTACATGTTTGTGTTGCTGCCAAAAATATCCGGGACTCTCTCTCTCTCTCTCTGTCTGTGGCTTCCTTTCCTGCGACTGTATCCTCAACTAATCCATTAATGACTTAAACAACACACTCACCGGCCCGCTGGAAAAGGTGGTAACCCACAACTTGGCCTCTATTCTTGTCCATGTTAATCTGGTTATGTGTATCACTGGCACTGGTTTCTGGTGACTTGTGTCATTACTGATTACTGACCCCTGGGATCCCGCTACTGTCAGCATGGCGTGTCTGGCTGGTAGCTCGGAGGGACAGGAAAGTCCCTGTGGTCATAATCCTCTTCTTTCCTTTGAGTGTGTGTGTTACATGCTGCTAGTAGTGTCATTGGGGGTTGTTAGCCCTGGAGATAGATGCCTTGTGTTCTGAATGGTGCAGCAGCAGGAAGATGATTTTGACAACAAGGAAGTAAAAAAGAAGAAGAAGAAGAAGAATGACTCACATAGCCAGGAGCAGAGGCTTTAGTAAAGAATACCAAAGGGGAAATTAGACAGTAGTTTACATAGTTATTTGAGGTGGTACTCCAACCGTATTTCCAATGCCCACAGGGCTAAAACACTTACTGAGGGCATGGACCTTCTTGATTGTGAGTCAGAGCCTAAAATTAAATTTTGTGTAGGCCAGTAGTGGAGCCCCAAAGTGTCCAACATGTAGTCAATATGACTGATTCACTTCATATGTAAATTAACTGAATACAAGTCAAATAAAAAAGCCATTAAAAAAAAAAAAAGTGAATCATGAGCTTCCAAGTTGCTTGTCCGACTTGTTGCCAGCTCACAACTGGAACTCAAGTTAGTTGGGGTGTGACGTCATTCCCAGCTCCGAGATATAACATAAATGGAACGCACCATTTAGTGCAGGCAGGCTAGTGCTTAGCAACAAATTAAACAGATAGTGTTAGCAGTGTAAGCTACTTCCTGTTGGCTAGAACAACAACAAGGACAGACTTTCTGACTTCACAGAGTTGTGAGTCTTCCTCTATAAGGAACATCTGCTTGATGTGTGCTGTTCAAAGCATTGGCATCATTTATCATCTTAAGCTTTTTTACTGACTTGCAAACTCATTTAGTATGCTTTTTCCTGTTTGGGGAAAACAGCTCGAATCAAAAAGCTCACTCAATATTCCTTTCCTGTGTTGACTGCCCCTTTAATCAGGATCATTTCCTGAGGCATTATCATTTAACCACAACAACCTTACTGTGAGTCCCACCTCGAGGCTTTAAAAAGCATGGCATCCTGCCTACAGGTTGATTAATTAAGTCCCTATAACAATAGAATGTGAGGACAGTGATAGATCGCCCGGTTCATCTCCTCTGGCTCTGACACAAAGTCGTTGGCCTATCCTGTTTTATTTTATGCACTCTTTGACGTTCATGGTAGTCAGTGGCCAAAATGCTGCCTGCTCTGCCCAAATGCCACATCACATAACGGCAACTTAACACTTCCTGGAATGGAGGCTATGGATGAAGGCCAAGGGACAAGCTGTCAAAGTAGTCCATCAAACCAAAAACGCTACAGTCTGTGCAGGCGTTTATGAAGCTTCTGCTTAAGAATTAAATAATAAAACATGGCCTTTATCCAAGTTAGACTGTAAGGAGAAAGAATAATTAAGAAGAACACTCTATACACTTCCACTAATCCTGAGAGAAGTCACAAAGTTTCTATCTGTCATTGTGAGACATGCTACACACACGTAGACCCCAAAGCACAAACCAGATCTATAGACGTGCATTAACAGAGAGATGCCAGAGGGAGGGGGCTGCACAGGTATTGGCGCCATGGGCAATTGGGGGTTTAGCACCTGGCTAAAGGGCGTCTGGGCAGTATACTCTGGAAATGAATCGGAACCTCTACAGTCACCAGTCCCGATTTCAAGTCTTGGTCCGTATTGGGACTTGAACCGGCGACCCCCAAGTTCCCAACCCAGTACAGACTCAGTTCTCACAGACTGAGCAACTGCGGACCCCAATTTGATGTGACAAAATCCTAGAAACATGTAAGATCAAGGTATTGCACCTAAACCAAGTATAAAATAAATCAAAAACTCCATAAAAAAAATTCCTTTATCGCTTACAAAGAGGGTTGCACCAATAAAGGTGTCAGATATGGCATGGATGCATCACCAACCAAGATAAAAAAAATAAACAATAAAAATGACTAGTGCTGACCTAATATCACACTAATTTCCCTCATGGGGCCGACCAGGCTGGCTGGGCTTTTCACATCATTCATTCCACTCCGTTTCCAATCACTCCCAAAGCATCACTTCAGGGATTCATTTGACACGTTTATTGCCAAACGGTGTGATTTCCAAGCTGGGTAGCAGCTTTTGATGTACCAACAGTGATCTCACTTGCACGGCAGACTGATTTGGCCCTCACACGCGTGTATCTCACTTAGTCCTTCGGAGGTAAAGTGGCAGATGATGAACTGAGCCGTTAATAGCCGGCAGCACTGAATGC